AAAATATTGGAGATATACCAAGAGTACCTCAATGTTTGGTAGATGAGGAAACCAGGTGACTGGAAATAGAATATTCAAGTCATGTGGCAAGATTTCTCTCAAATTATCGACTGGACCTATCTGTGAACTTACTCACATCCTCACCCATTTTTGACTAATTTCCTCCAGATTCAACATAAACTACATCCTCTTTACGATCAAGGTAAATCTTCCTTACACACGTGTCATATTCCTGGTAGTACAGAGGAAACTAGCAAGGACATCTTTCAACTAATCATTGAAAAAACAGAGTCTGTAGTGGAAGAAAGGGAAGGGAAAGCTGCAAAGAGCAAACAGTGGAAAAAAGAGAAGAGCTCCTTCCAGAGCCAGGATTTGGCAAGAAAGTGAATGTGAAGGAAGAGTTGACTGGAAGTGTCTGGTTGGGACTTCAGTATACTTCGAAGTGGAAGGAGATGAAGCAGGTCCATGACGAAGTCCACATCAGGAGGAATAAAAATTAGTAACCATTAAGAGAGAGAGCTGCATGATAACTTGGAGGGGGAAGCACATGATAAGTCAAATTTTGTAATTAAAAAGATAAGATCATGTGGATAAAGGTAGTGCTTTTATTTTATTGAAAAAACTTTGCAGCCTCTAAGTTTTCATTGAAACAGCTCCAAGAGGTTTTATAAGAGAGACCTAATAAAGGATACTTTTAGAGAGAGTTCAAGATTAGAAGGAGCCGTAAGCAGGGCAACAGTCAATAAGACTGGAGCAGAATGATTTTTCTGACCTAAGTAAAGGCAGAATGTGAGAGAAAAGCACAGTTATCTGGTGGCATTAGTCAATGCATTCCCTTGGCAGGGTCCAACCGCATCATCCAGAAAGGGAATAAATCGATGGTTGATTTTGTCAACACTGTTACTTTGAAGAGAAATGGCCAGGAATTTTAAGGTATGAGAGTTTGTGACCATAATGGGGAAATGTGACTAATTAGAAGAACTGGAGATAAGGCAGTGTTCAAGTAAAGGTCAGATTAGGATCTGTTGTCAGTTCTGTTAGAGGAAGAGTGGGATGTGGAAGGAGGATGATTTGCTTTGGGAACAGTCGGTGTGATGTAGACAGAAGGGGACATTGCATACATGACTGTACCGATGTCACAAAGGAACACACTCCAGTGTTTATCTCCGCATGAACCCTGACATAATAAGCATAGACGTACAGAATTAAATAGTCCAGTTTGAATGACAGACTTCCTCATCCAAACTTTGTTAATGAACACACTCATACCCAAATAACCCCTCCTTTAAAATAAATGTAATCATATGTAAACATCCACAGATCATCTAGGATGGAAATCGATTCAAACAAGTTATAAATGTATTACAATAGAAATTACAATAGCAGAACAGATTAAAAGGCTTAACATCATGCTACGTCTGCCAGAAGATATTTCCTTTTTAAGATTAGACTCAAGTTAATGTTTTACTCTAAAAATATGTGCATAAATGTATGTATACATACACATATAACATATAATAATAGTGCATATTTATATTTCTTCCTATAAATTTAGCCCTTTTCAAAAAACTTTACATGTAACTAATATAACTCCCATTTTTACAAGAGCACACTGAGCACAAGTTCTTGCCCATGCCAAAATACACTTACATTTCCTACCTTAAACTTATTTTAAAACAGAAGGAAAAATAAAAGTGCATGTATATAGTTTTACTACTAATATTTCCATATGGTTAAAGCATAGGTTACCCATATCAGAATGGTTGGGGAAGGGGGCTGGTGATCATTAAAGGCTTTCTATGCCACAAAAAATGCTTTTATTTTTATCTTGAAGGTAATGGGAAACACTGACAATTTTAAGGGTTGAAAGGTTTGATGGATAAAAGGTTGGAATTGAAAGATTGACAGTAAAGGAAAACAACTTGCAGCCTTTCAAGAAAAATACAAAAAAAAACCAAAAAAAAAAAAACCCAAACCTGAAAGGGCAGCACTCTTATGGAAAGCATGACAGGGAATGTAGAACATATTTGATAGATATTTAAAGAAACATAATGGGCATCTTGGTCACATATTAGATTACCAAAGTGGAGATAACCAGGATAACATTCATTTATCTTCTGACCTCACAGAATGTCATGTTAACACAGGCAGGAAATATAGCAGGAGAAGCCAAGTGTGGAGGAAGAGATGCCATTGTGATGCCATCAACTTAGTTATTCATGTCCACTAATATATGAAAGGGTAAGCTAATGTATTCTATATTAAATGTGAGAACCCTGTGAATACTATTAGATAGATAGTTTTAAGCAACAAGTAATCATGCAATTTAAAAGCAAAATCTAGTATCAAACTTCACCATATTTCATTTGGCATTTTTTCAACAACCACAGAGTCAACAAAAGGCAACAACTACAAAGCCAACAAAAAGCAACTCCCTTATAGACTCCTTGTAAAAGAGATTTACAATGTTAAATAAGTCATGGATTCTGACCTTGAGACTGCAGTACAATGTAACAGATGCCATCGTAGAGGTAAGGAGATTCCCTCCTGATATAGAAGAAGTTTCATTAGGGAAGTCGTGAATGCAGAGTTTCCATGGTTGCCCTTCTAATAAACATATTGCTCAAATGTGACCATGAAATATGTACAAATTGTTTTCGACTTACCATTAACAATAACAATGATATCACGGAAGTCAATTTCTCCCCTGGCTTCCACTCTTCCTTCACACCTGTATATACCTTCATCACTTTTATTGATGTTGAGAATCTGCAGATTATTGTTAGCTAACATGGCGAACCGATCTGGAAAGGAAGCAAAGGGGAGGAAATGATATCAGTAATTGAAGGCCGAGTCCAGTGTGCTCTAAATTGCTAAGAGTTAAAATATGGCACTTGTCTGACACTATCATACTTTTCATCAACAAACAAATTCAAATTTGAAAGTAAAATGTAATTTCATGACTTCAGTTTTTCCACTCCACACTGCCTTGTTGCACCTTTTTTCTAAAATACATTCAAGACTTTATTTCCACATAAAGTGGTTAGGCTATTATTTTCCCCCTGGTACTTTGAATGCAGACATGGTACACAAAAGAACAAAGCCCGGAGATTAGATATTGCAGACACGAAGACATTTTGACTGCAAATATGTAGCAACTTGCGTACAGAAAGGGGTTAGAAAATTGATTGAATATCCTTCCTCACACAATAATTAAACTAATAACTGCACATACCCTGAGGAGGCAGTTAAATGATATAATATTCAAGTCATGCTGAGGACATATAAAATGGTCATATCTCAAATTTATTTGAAGGATTTTTTTTCTAAATGCAAGATAATCCATTTTAGGAATGAATAGATGAGACTTCATTAACTTTGTTTCAAGATTCCACTTTATGTGTGAGTGTATGCACATGCAGATATACAAAAATAAGCTGTTACAGGGCATGCACTAGCTGATGGCCTAAATATTCTGGCTACCCGAAGCAGCATTTCAGCCCGACAACATTTTCCATAATGCCTGACCTTAGTTTTTAATCATCACATTTTTGTTGCAGTGTTCTTACCAAGTAAAGAATGTCTTCTCATCTAGTCCTATTTTGAAATGTGTTGTAAATGCAATGTCCTAAATTTCATTAATTAATTCATCCACAGATATCACTGAACATCATCTGTTTGCTAGGTACTATATTTGTATATACTGGTGAATAAGAGAAACAAATCCTTGACTCCTTTGGGCCTTTCGGTAAAGTAGAAATGTCATTATTTTAAGGTACCCACCTCTGGGATATCTACCGTTAGAGGCTGCTTTTTGGAACTGTTCAAATAAATATTTACTATTCTTCCCCTATCTACTGGCTTAATAGAGAGGTTAGGGCAAACACGGAAGCCACATGAGAAAATGGACCACTGAATGGATGCAAGGAGTAGAATCCTGCCTCTTCACCTGCTGCCATTTGGACTTGAGAAATTAACTGCTATGACATTAAGCCATTCAGATTTGGGGGGTTCATTTTTCATGGCAATTTCTTAAATCAAATGAGAAGTTTGGGCTAGAAATACAAACAAGGGCATTACTGATAATAATAGCTCATTAAAACAGAGAAGCATGTGGTTACTTGTCGTCTGAGAGATCGTTAATAAAGAGTGGAAATGTGTAGATTCTGAAACTGCTGCAGAGAGAAAATACTGACTATAAAGCTACAAACACCTAATTTTCAGCCCACGAGATACAAACTTTTCTACAACACTTATTCCATCTTTTGGTTGACTCTAAGAAGAGATACAAAAATGTTTATGAAGACGTTTCCCCTGGTAAATTTTATCAGCAAGGGAGAGACTGGAGAGAAAGAAAGTCAATGATCAAAAAATTTTAAAGTGTAACTCACAATAAATCCTACAGTAATTCAGAACTCCTAAAAATTCACAGTGTTTCAAAGTAAATTAAAAGAACTCTAAGTGCGCTGCTAAAAATTAGAATGAGAAGCAATTACAGTTGACTCTTGAGCAACCTGGGTTTGAAATGTGCAGGTCCACGTATGTGCAAATTGTTTTTCAATAGTATACAGTGCTACCCAATCTGCAGTTGGTTGAATCCAAGGATGCAGAGCAGCAGATCTGGAGGAACTGCGGAAAAGGAAGGCCAACTATAAGCTATACTTGAATTTTCAGCTGTGTGTAGAGTTGGTGTCCCTAACCCCTTTGTTGTTCAAGGGTCAGCTGTATAAATCAAAAGTTAAAGTTTAGAGATGGATGTACCAAATCATACCTAAGACATTGTAATATTAAATTTTCTAATTTACTAAAATATGTATCATCCTATAATTATAATGTTCTTTAATGGCTATAGTTTAATTAATAAAAAGAGTAAGGGGTAAATCAACTATACTTCAATTAAAAAAAAGATTAAAGGGAAGCATTATTTTAATCAGGAAGGCAATGTCCTATATAAAAAAGAGAAAAAAATAAGAATCTGCAAAATACATATTTTTAATGGAAATAAATGTTCCCTCTGATGGCAAAATTTCAGTTTCAAACAGCAACTTTAATACATCACTTCTATGGCTGGAGAAGGAAACTATAGCCACTACATATAAATATAAACCATTATATATGTTTAAGTATATAAAAATTTTCCATCCAGAAAATAAATACAAGAAAATTGCATATCAAATTCTAAATATATATATAAAGCCATGGAATGATGTTAGCAAACTATCAAACCAAAAAATATCTTTACTTTGTGTTTACCAAGGACCTCTGAAGAAAGCACTGCTTCAAACAATCACATGTAACTATGGATATCAGAACAACTTAACCATTAGAGACTAGTTCTCTCAGTTTTACAAACACTGAGATATTCATCATTGCAGTAAGAAAAATAAATGAAATCAGATGATACCTAATAAGGTGTCTGTTCTATGATTCTTTAAGTGGGTTATTTTCTAAGTTCCCTTTTCTTCCCGTTCCATAGCCATTATTGAATGGTTTGCCTCGTCTACTCTTATGGGTTCAATTACCAACTATATTTTGATGACTCATTTTTTCTTCAGACCAGATGATTCCTGTGAATTCCAGAACTGTGTTGAGTCTACCAGATGTACATACCTGGAAGTGTTGTAAATATTACGATCTCAGCATATGTAAAATTAAGTCACTATCTCTGCCTGAAATTTCTCAGAGAAATTAGATCATGTCACTGCCTTGATTAAAACCCTTTAGCGATGTCCCTTTTGTATAGATTCTAAACTCAACAGAGATGTCAAGGCCATGTTGACTTGACCCAAACTTCTTTTCCAGATTCCTTTCTTGTTAGCACTTTACTTACAAATCCTACTTATATTTATCTGTTATTGTAAGTGTTCTAGTTGTACTTATTCATAAATTCTGGTTATCATCAGCTTACTTCAGTTTCTGGAATGTGCCGCTCATGTTTTCACCTGTAGGCCATTGCATATGTTGTTCTTGCCTTCTAAAAAGTCTGCACCACTCTACTTGGCTAATTCCTTTTCCTACTTAAAGGCATTTTTGTGTCTCAGCAGGCATCTTGAACACGTTCCTCTGCCCCAACTAGTTCCCTGTTCTTTCTTTATCAACCTCTATCACTGTACTTTCCTTATCATAGACCTCAACATCCCTTGTTTTCACTGATTTATCTATTGATCTCTTCCACTAGATTATTAGTATTTTTAAAACAGTGGTGTGAAGGAAAAGCTGGGCTGGGCTAACAAGATAACTCATAAATCTAAGTGTAATAAGTGACAGTTTACTGATCTACGTTCTGCTGGGCTAACTCATAAATCTGAAGTTTAGTGTCAGTTTACTGGGCTAACAAGCTAACTCGTAAATCCAAGCTCAACAAGTGTCAGTAACGTGATCTGTTCCTAGCAGATAAGCTCCAGTGTACTGATTCCTTGGTTTTGCTGTTCGAGCCTTATTGGCTAATAGCCCTAAGCTTGTAAGTAACCCTATAAAACCCCACGCACACATCTTGGAGGCGCTCAGAGCTTCGGAGCAAAAGCCCCTCTGAGCCCGCCGGCGTAATACATCTGAGTACTCCGACCCTCCGAGTGGTGCTTTTTCCTTGGCTGGCCTGTCATTTCCGTAACAGTGGATTGTTTATCATCTTAAACCATGAATCATCACTGTCTAGCACACCAGATGGCATATACTAGGTGTTCAGTAACTGTTGAATGAATTTTTATACAGGAAGTCGATTAAATAAAAATGTTATTGAACAAGATGATTTTATCCATAGTTTTTGAGGCAGAAAGGGTATTTCATTAGACAATGTTCAAAATATTTAGGAAGTTGTGGGAGCCCATGATTGGGTTAACAAATTGTAACAGATCCCAGCCGCTTATCTCCTTAAAGAAGATGTGCTTAGTAACTGCCTTGAGGTTTTAGCAATGACCCAGGCCCCCGGCTATAAACACTGGACGTACCTGCTGTTAGTCTTCTATCTCCAAACAGCCTTCGGCTGGAATGGTAAATAATTAATAAAAAGCTGCAGACTCAGAGGTGAGAAGGCTGGTTAGCCAATGACAGGTAAGATCCCCGGAGGGGGCAACCTAAGACAGGCACAGCCGCCTGAGTCCAAGTTGTCAAGCAGCTGATTCCCATATGTTCTGCCCTGATAAGCTGAAAGGCTCAACATGAACATGATTCACCCAAAACGGTCTTCTGACCTTGAGCCGAACACCAACAATAAACAAAGCCTTTGTACTCATTGTGATCCCACCCTGTCCTTCCCTAAATTCCTGCATTCCTCCTTTGACTGTACTCAATAAATATGGGAGATTTGAGAGGCTCGTGGAGCTGGCTCCCAACTCCCTCTCGCTCTCTTGACTTTT